CTGATTCAATTTTCTAATTTCACCATATTTCAATTAATCTAAATATTGTTTGTTCCTTGAAAATAAGAATTAACAGAAACAGGGCCGGGGATTTAGCTCAGTGGTTCCAGCGCCTGCCTTGCAAGTGCAAGGTCCTGAGTTCGATCCCCAGTACCCAAAACAAAAAAAAAAACAACAAAGAATTAACAAAAGCAGAGATTTTTCCCAAGTCAATGACATCTTATCATCATATTTCATGGCCAGGACAGAGAGTACTTACCATGATAAGGGCTGTTTTGTGGAAAATGCTCTCTGTAAGGTCAAAAGCCTGTGTAAGTTTAACTCCATAATTAAACTTTGAGACACTGTCTGAGGTGCTGAGGTGAAGTGCTCTGGAAATGTTTAGGGTTCAGGGGAAATGGATTTGCCATAATAAAGGGAAACTTTAAGATAAATAAGTTATCAAGAAGGATGTATTTTTCTTTAGTGACAGATGTGTAGATTATACCCATTGATTTCAAAGTAGTAACCTCAGTAAAAACAATTTTTAATTATTTGTGGCAATTCCTGGAAAAGCAAAAGGTGGGAATTAAGTAGGATTCTGCTCATTATTACCCAAATTTAATAAAACCTGAGCATTACTTTTTATAACCAATTTACTTATATTATCAAGGTAACCTTCATAATAGTTCTCTGAAGTGGGTACATTTAATAATTCATTTTATAAAGGAGGAGAAAATTGAGTTGCAATGATGGTAAATAACCTCACCAAAGGTTCACTACAAGGACATGGAGAGACAGTATTTGAAGCCCAAACAAGTATGCGAGTATGACTGTAAAGATAAATTTAAAATAGTTTTCTCTTTCCTCAATGCATGTCAGTGCCCTGACTGCCCCACCCTACCAGTGTTGTCCCACTTCTAGGCAGGCCATGTATGTCTAACATCATCTGCCCACCACTTTCTTTCTCTGGGAGCCAAAACAGAAAGAGCTTGAGTTTTATATTTTAACTTGGATTAGATCTTTGTTCCACTATAGTGTTTCTAAATTAGTTATTTTTTCACCTGTAAAATGGGTGAAAGTAACATCTCTAAATATTTCTAAGGATATTGATATAACATGTAAAAGTACTTACAGCTACTTGGCAAATATTTAACAAATGTTAGTTTCCTGTCTTCCTTCCTTTGCAGACAAAAGTCAGTTTACTTCCTTACTAAGCCAGTTTACATGAAAATGCTTCCATAGCTCTCAGATCACCACAAAATCCTTAGAAAACTTACTCACTAAAGCAAATAGAGTTTAAACATGGGATCTCACAGGCTTTTAATCTCCCAGAGTATGCTATGAAAATCTGAAACAGAAGTTGATGTGCCCTGATACTCTCTGATTGTCTTTCCTTGATTTAGGCGGCTTCTAATAGCCTCTTCTCATCTTACACAATCTTGCCCCTCACTTCCAAAATAACATTTTTACAACACTGAACTTTGGTTCCCGCTGCCTCTCTGCAAAATCTCTAAGTTTTCTCATCATTTTCTTTTTCTATTTTTTCCCCCTTACCAAGATATCCATCTGAAATAACCCTCTACCAAAAATTTACCTATTGAACCTTTGCCTTCAGGACCCAACTTGAATGACTCTACCTTCACACACGATCTCTGCCCATCCTGGATGGAAGAGACTTCACCACGTATAAATCTCTGTGGCTCTGAGTGTCACTCCATGGAAAGATCGTAGCCACTTTTGTTTCTTAAGGGTGAATATTGAAGGGAATAATGGTTTAAAGTGCATCTGACCAAGCAGGGGGGACACATGTCTATAATCCCAGATATTTGGGAGGTTGAGTCAGGAGAAGCACAAGTTCAAGGCCAGCCTGAGCAATTTAGCAAGACCCTGTCTCAAAGTAAAAAATTAAAAGGGCTGGGGATGCATCTTAGGGGTACAGTGCCTAGCATGTGAGGCCACAGGTTCAATCCTCAGAACTACACACACACACACACACACACACACACAGAGCTTCTGATTAGCAGAAGTCCATTAAGTAACACCTCCTACTTCCTCACTAAAATAGCTATGAACCCGCAGAAGTAGCATTCTTACAAATGCACTAAAAACTAAGATTGAAAACCAAATCATTACCAAAATCAGGAAAGACTTTTTGTGAAATTAATGGCCAGAAAAACTGGATTAAGGAACTTTAGAAAACTGCTTTCCCAATAAAAATAAAATAAAATTCTTGACCTGAAAGTATTTCCATTATTTGTGCCTCTTCAAGTATTTACATTGAGGCCATACTCTTAAGTGAAGTAAATAGGACACACATGTGTAAATACCAAGTAGTTTCTCTAGTGTGAGAAACTGAAAGTGTAAATAAGGGTTAACATAATTAAAACGAATAATTGATAATTTGAAATAGGAAGAAAAGATCCAAAGGGGTAGGAGTGGTGGGAGAGGAAAGGGAAAGGAAAGAAGGGAAAGAAAAAATTATGAGAAAAACATGGAAATGAAGTCTATGTAAATAGGGAAGGGTGGAGGGGGTGAAGGGTGCACAGGTAATGGGGAAAAAATAAGAACCAAGATACATCATATACAGGTACAAGCACCCAATGATAAATGTAAACATATTGTATACCTAAAATGTACCAATAAAAGAATTTAAGAAAAAAATATTTACATCCTACTCAGAAACAAAAGGAGTCCTGTCAACTACATGAACAACCACAAAAAGAAGTGAAACAGGCACACTACTGGTAGGTGACATTTTATGGGGCATCTAGAGTGTCAACCTAGTAATCCAAGTAGTCAAGAATAATGATGGGTTGAGAAAAAAATCTTTCAGGAATACTGGGGGAAAAACAAGATAAGAAACCAGATAATCAGTATTAATATTTTGAAAGTCACATACAAGGCCAAATAGGAAAAATAGGAAAAAAAGAAATCTTCATAAGATCTATAATGAAATGTATACATAATTACTAATCCTTCAAATAACACAATGGCTGAAACATATAAAGTTAAAAAAACATTATAATTTAAAGAAAAATGCATGTAATTATTTTGAAAGACTCATATGCATATCTTAGGCTTTGAGTAATTCAGTAGGAAAATAGTAAGAAAAGAAAAAACTGGCATAATATCTTTAACAATTAACTAATGTGATATATTTATATATTGTACACAGTCAAACTAGTTATCAGCAAAACCATCTGTGAAATATTTAGAAAAGTTTATCATAGTGTTTATCTCAAAGAATCAAGATATCCCAACCATTAAAAGTCTACTCATAATTGGGTTTGGTAGCACATACCTGTAATCCCAACACTCAGGAGGGTGAGGCAGGAAGATTGCTGTGAGTTTGAGGCCAGTGGGCTACAGAATGAGTTCATACCAGCCTAAATTACATAGCAAAACCGTGTCTAAAAAAAAACCAAAAAAAAAGTCTAGTCATTCCTAATTTCCATATATTATAATTAGAAATTAATAAAGAAATTAAATGCCCAAACTTCTAAGTAACAATTAAAAGCAAGAATTAAAACTACAGTTGTAAACCATGTAGAGATTGAAAACAACACTATATATCAAATTATGGAATCCCACCAAGGCTGCAACCACAGACAGATTCATGAGTGTAGAACTGACAGATTTTTTGGTTCAGTGGACTTATTGGTTATAATAGTCTCATAATTTTCCATTGTTTAATATTAAACTCCATTTACTTGCCTATTTCCTCATATGATTCTTCATCCTAAGTATGTAAATCACCATTTGGAGGGATTAACCTTCTAGGCCCTAGAATCTGCTCTTCCTCTCTTCCTCTCATTTGTTTAGACCTGCTGCTCTCTGCTCTCCACTTTCATGAGACACCAACCACTTGACACCAAATTTAAGTCCAACACTTGTGAACATAATATCTCACTTTGACTCTCAGTCTCTCATATGCTATTTTATAGAAACACCCTTGCGATTACTGTCACATGCTGTTTTATAATTGTGTTCTACACACCTTCTACCTAGGATACTGTGGTCTATATAAGTTGGAAGAGCCCCACCTTACTTTCCAAAAGAAAAGATATAAATTATAAAGCGAAGATAGACTGGAACTCAATCTACGGGTCTATGATCTCTATGGACTCATAAGTTTATCACAGAATTAAGTGACATGTACATATACGTCCATCCATATGTACATACATATATACATAAGGAAATGGAGGATACAGAAGGTATCTTTTAAGGATTCATTTATTTGAAACATAAATATGTGTGTGTTTAAACTTTTTTGAAGATTAGGAAGTATTTATTGAGGGAAAGATAGCTTCTGCATAAGACAGACAGAAGGGGGCTGAGAAAGTGGGTTGCCGCTATGTTTTTAAACTTTTAAATTCTATTTCAATTACAGTAACTGGAACTAAAACAAAGAGATTGTTATTTTTAATTCTTATTATGTTTTAACTAATAAATAAACATTATTTTGTGGCATGTAACATTATACTTTGAAATATTTATATATTGTGGAATGTCTAAAACAATCTAATCAATATATGCATTATCTCTCACATACTTATCATTTTTTAAGAAATTTTTTTCTGTATGCTTCCTGTATTCAGTAAAATTATAAGTACAGTATACTGATGTCAAAAACATTAGCTGACTGGACTCTCAGGCATACATGCAAATTACAGCTGGTTTGTGTCACATCTGACTTCTCAATTCAAATGTGTTCACTTTTACTGTTTTTCACTTAATATTATTAGTCATTCTATTATTTCTGTATAAGTATAGTCATTAATAACTTATATTGTGATCTTAATTCAGAATTATTTCCAACAATAAAATAATGAGTTTTTAAAAAGGAATTATGTATAGTTGCTATAATCAATTGTAGTACCAAAAGAAAAAACGTATGTGGTCCTTATTTCTGTAAAAATGCTCAATGAGTTATATGCTTGTAAGGAAAGATTAACATCTGTGACCAAAATAATTCATGTGATGTTTAAACCTAATAACATTCTTCTCCCATATAGACGAGGCTCCAATGTATCTCTTACATTGGACATGAGTAGTTTGGGGAATGTTGAACCCTTTGTATCCATACCAACTCCACGGGAGAAGGTTGCCATGGAGTACCTGCAGTCAGCCAGCAGAATTCTCACAAGGTCACAGCTGAGGGAAGTTGTGGCAAGTTCACACTTACTCCAAAGTGAATTCATGGTGAGCCTATTTCTTACTCACTCCTCACTATTTTTATACAATTGGGAAATTATGAGATGAATATGGAAAGGAAAGTGTCCCAGGTCCAAACAACATGCAATAAACAAATGATTCAAAAGGTAAAATGCAATGGGTTCAGATCTGCCTTCTATCTGTCAGCTATTGACAAGTGATCACAATATAGTGCAGTAGCTAAATTGAAGCAGAGTATGTAAGGCCTAGCTGGGCAATGCAGTGGCACAAAGCATCTGAGCAAAGAAAGGGCATTTTAGGATTAAGAAATAGCCTTGCTGTTGCTGTTTGGGAAATTAAATTATTCAATTTAGGTGCAGTATCGAAATTAAGGTGAGAAGTGAAGATGTGAAAGCCAAAAACTGGATGAAGTAATGGAGAAGTGAGGGGTGATACTCAGGTTTTTACCTTGAGCAGCAAGCATACAAATTGTGCTCAGGAATGACATAAGGAAACAGAAGGAAGAAGTACGGGCTAAATACGATGGCAAGTATAGTTTTAGACTTACCAGTATGCTGAGATATATCTACCAAACAGCATGAAGTCGGGTTAGATCTTCTTAAGTCTAATTGTTGCTAAAGGGGAATATTTATTTGATAGGTAACCTTACATCTTAAGTCAGTTATGCATTTTAAGCTATATTAGTTTTGTATAATAAATTGGTCACTCTAGAGTTGGTTGAAATATATTAAAACAAGCTCACGGTGAGAAGATCCAGAAATGGTTTAGATCTACTATTAGCCCCATTGGCTATTAAGTGTTCAAAGTAAAATACAAACATGAGGTTTTAAAAAGTAAGCTCTATAGTGTGTCATCTTTTTATATGTGAAGAAAATTAGACAACTCCATGATCACACATGCCCAGCTACTTAGGATACTGAGGCAAAAAAATGCAAATTCAAGGGTCATCGAGGCAACTTAGCAAGACCCTCTTTCAAAACAAAGTAAACATTGCTGGGAAGGTAGTTCAATACTCACCGTGTTCATTCCTGGTAGTTTAATATTCAGTTCCATTAACACAAACACAAACACATGCACACACAGTTCATACAGCTAGCCAAAGACACTGTTAGGTATTCTTTTCTTGGACTGCTGATAGACTTTTGTTTATGAAATAAGCCTTTAATAAAGAAAGATGAAGCTAACAAGGAGTATCCAGGAGAGAGAATACTAAAAGATTACAGATTATCAGTATATGTCAGGTAACAGAAGACAGAATGGAAAAGAAGAAAAGGAGTAAAGATATTACCTATTTTGTGGCTTTGCCAAAACAGACTGACATGCTTGAAGTTATCAAACATGGAATGATAAAAACATGTTTTTTATTGAACATTCAACAATTTTGGTAATTTGGAACAAAGAAGTTAAAATATTTGGGTGGAGCAAAGCATATTTTAAATATATAAAATGCAAGCTAATACAACAATGCTAAAAATGTAAGCTCTTCTTCACTGTAGACCAAGTCTCAAATTCATGATATTGTCTGACTTTTCTCAAATTTTCAGATTGAGAACTAAGACAATATGAAATTTTTATAGTTCATTTCTTTAATTTCAACAAATATGAGGATGTTGAGTTATAGTTTCCACTGGAGAAAGTTAAGTATAAAAATATTATTTTATGTGATCAAAGGATTTAATTTAATAGTCAGCAAATAACATAAAAGTTACTTTGTTACATTAAGCTTATTTAAACAATCCTTTGGAAAATTTTGTGTTAGAAAACATTCTATGTTGTATAACCAAATTCTATTCTTGCTCACATTTTTAGGTCTCATGCTTTTACATCAATCTACCCCTATTCTATTTGTTCCCTTTTCAGACATTTGAGGCCTGTGACATATATTCTGACTAAGTACAAATATTTATTTTCTTAATAAGTAAGAAAAGAAAGTGTCTGGCTGTGCCTCACTAAATATTGCATTCATAATAATGAATGAAACAGTCCAATTACAAACCATTCTTTAAAAATTATATCATTACACAAGTCAACGAAAAACTTTCATATTTACCAGTTTTACCTAAAAGAATCATAATATTGAAAAAGAACCCATCATAATAGATTTTTATATTGAAATTATATAAAGATTTGAAAGTCCTTAATTATATATTTTTTTAAAAAACTGTGATCCATATAATTCCATCAGTTATGTCACAAGATTTTTTAAATTGAAGAAACATGCTTTATTTCTCTTTAACAACTACATATAAAATAATACTAACACAGAGAGCTGTTTCTTAGAAGTCAGCTTGAAAGGGTGCAACCAACATGTTTATAAAAGGAAGGGTATGGGTCACCCAGAGGTGGCAGCCTGCTGTTTTTTAAATGACTTTGAAGTCCAATCAAGCACAGATCAAGTAGCCCCCTGTGAAAATTTTCTTTGTGTCAGCATTACATGCATTTATTTGATATCATTTATTTTTGTAGGAAATACCAATGAATTTTGTGGATCCCAAAGAAATTGACATTCCTCGTCATGGAACAAAAAATCGCTATAAGACCATTTTGCCAAGTAAGTTTCTTGATTTAATAATTTATATTGTAAAGCATTAAGACAAGACTTCTCCATTTACCTTACCTCTTAACATTTTTATCTTGTATTACTCTTATCATGATGACCAACTCACTGTTCCAGTACATATGTGATTCTAATATTGAGTCATCCCACGCATTATGGTCAAGTGATTTTCATCACCAGTGTCAAACAATTAATGGGTGAAGGAGACTCTTTTCAAAACTGATGCTGAGACAACTTGATATCTGCCTGCAAAAAAATAAAATGAAGTTGAACCCTGCCTCACACCATATAGAAAACTTAATTCAGAGTGAATCCAATACATGTAGATAGCTGAAATTATAAAACTTGCAAAAGAAAAGTTATGAGTTTTCATTACCTTGAATTAGTCAGTGGTTCTTAGATATGACACTAAAAGTACAAGGAACCCTCAAAAAAGTAGACAAATTAGCCTTCATTAAAATTTAAACATTTGGTGTCTCAAATGATACCATCAAGAAAGTGAAAAGACAACACAAAGAATGGGAGAAAATTATATAAAAAGATGGCATAACTTAAAAATAAGCAAATGACTTGAATATACATTTCTCCATAGAAGATATAAAAATTACTCATAAGCATGTAAAAAGTTGTTCAGCATCATTAATCAACAAGGAAAATCAAAACAAAATGAGATATTGCTTCATATCCATAAGATGACTATAATAAAAATGATAGGCAATTAAAAATATTGATGAAGGTGCAAGGAAACTGGAACCTTCCTCCCTCCTCTCTCCCTAAAATTTTCATCAAAAACATGCGAAATATTAAGTTTAGAGCACATATATCCATCATAATTTTCATAGCTCTCTCATTAAATGCAAACCTTCTCTCAAATTAAATGCAAACCATCGTTTAATTTCATAAGGATTTGGAAATTATTAGAGTTACTTCAAAGTTCAACCTTCTGTTTCCTGGCCAGATGATATAAGATAACTGCTTTCCAATCCTGTGTCAGCTTTTCCACTTCCAGAATTGGGTAGTCTGCTAGGACCAGGGCACCCATGCTGACAACGGATGTCACAAATGATGGATTTTCTGTTGAAAACACCTTTAGCCCAAATACCTCATGCACTCCTGTTGCACAAAATGTAACTTAGGAAATAAAGTTTGGACAGCCATGTTATGGTTGAAAATTACTAGAAAAGACTCAAATGAATAACAAATTCAAAACATTATATAAATTGATGATTAACAAATGATTAAGATTTTAAATATCATGGTTGTTTTTATTGTTTTAACTTACAATAAATTCTGCTTAGTTTAAAAGTTTGCCAGCTTTTACAGAATGGTAAAGCTACAAAATTTGAAAGATTTTTTGCAGCGGATATATGGATAAGTAAGAACTAATTAAATGATAGCTATTTCTCTGAAGACAATGTCAGTCTGCCTCAGAACACTCTAAATGGAACATTAAAGTGCTGAGGTAAAACTTATTTAAAATATTTTGCACTGTAAACAAATATTAGTCATAAAAATGTTTTCATCTAAAATCGCAAAAGCAATGAGGAAAATACTAATCATATATTGAGAAGAAATTATTAGCACACACTGAAGTATAATAATAAATGTTATATATTTATTTCACATGGTCAATTTATTTATAAAAATATAAAAAATATATATACAAAATTAAAGAACATTATTTATTCTGGCCATCATTTCATATTCAAAAATGTACTGTTTGATAATGTTTTCTACTTAAATCATGTTTATCTTTGGTTATACTAAATTTTTACCACAAGGTAGATATCCAAATAAGTGAGTCATGGGCCAGGGATTTAGCTCAGTGGTTCTGGCGCCTGCCTCCCAAGCGCAAGGTCCCGAGTTTGATCCCTGGTACCAAAAAAAACCCACACAAATAAGTGAGTCACTCATTAAGGCAAAAAGTTGTATTAGATTTTGTTTCCTACTATATGTTAGAATTAGATCTTATTTCCTACTCTGAAAAATAAAAAATTACAATTATTGGTAGGCTATTTAATCTTCCTTTGCCATCTTTTCTTCATCCCTTAAAAAAATGATAATAACACTACCCTACAAGGCCACTGAGAAAATTAAATGGTAGTATATGTAAAATTAGTAGCAAACTTCTAATGGTTCCCTCCCCTCCTAAATGATAATGGATCATCATCCAACATTAATCTCAGAAAACACTCGTATATTTAGAGATGAGTTGACAGTTTCTAAGGCAGAGTATTAAAGAGCCCTATTTTCTCTTATAATTTGCATGAGTTTCCATACAATCACCATCTTGCATTCCCAAGGTCAACTCTGTAACTATAGAGACAGTCTGTATTTCCAATATGATAACCATTAGCCACATGTAACAACTGAACACTTGAAAAATAGTTAATGCAACTGAGGAATTGTTTCTAAATTTTATTTACCCCAGCTAAATTTAATTAGCTGCGTATGGCTAGTGGCTCTCGCCTTGGACTGCTCAGTCTCATCTTTTTTTTCTTTTGCAATGAATTTGAAGTTGACTCCTAATCACCTTGAAGGTATAGTCAATCCTTTCCTTTCCTCCCATTTTCTTTTTATCTTGAATTCATCTGTGAAAACTCTCCTAGCTTCTTGCTGGAGGATAAATCTTTAAAATTTTGAATGAATAGCTTTTCACAAAATCTGATAAGATGTTACTCAAAATATCAGGATCCAGTTGTCATTTTGTCTGTTAAACAGAAAATTTAAGATTAGAGCAGATATTTTAGGGAGACCAAGGTGGAGAAATTTTATAAATACAGATTTGATGGAACAAGTAAATATAGCTTTGGTGGAACAAATCTATACTTATGTCCAATAATGTTGAGGGGGAAAAGAAAAAAGAAGGAAGAAATAAAGGAGATAAGGAGGGGAAGACTAAAGGAAATAGGAAGGAGGGAAGGAAAAAAGTGAGGGAGGAAGACAGGGAAGGAGAAAAGGAGACAGGAAGGGACAGAAGGAAGGAAGGAAGAAAGAAGAGAGGGAGGTAAAGCGGAGAAAGGGAAAAATAAAGAATAGAGAAAAATGATCAGTGTTAAAATAATATTTATAATTGTTATTGAGACTGCCTAGATATATACCATGGTGTACTGAATATTTAACATATAGCTCAGAAACATTTGTTCAGAAAAATTGTTGTACTGAATTTGACTAATACACAGATTTAAAATGCATAACATTAATAAAATTATAACATTAGTGATGAAAATAATGATGATGATGAAGTTTTCTTAGTCCCAGACAATGTATTAAAGGACTTTGGTTGGAAATCTACATTTTTTCCCCTACTCAGTCATATGTTGTATTCTTGTTTTTAAAAAATGAAAATTTCTAAATACTTAAAAATTACTATAAATTACTAACTTCCAATGTAAACTTAATTTAGTTTGACAGAGAAATTTCATAAATATAGAAGTTTATAGCAGTTTATAGAGCTCCAGTAATCATATACAATATAAGCATTCTAAAAACTGAAGAAAGTGTTGCCTTTTCTCAAAACTGCATGGTTTAAGGCTTTTGTGGAAACTTCTAAGAATCAATGGATAGTAAAGGAAATAAAAGTTTTCTTGTTTCTTTTGCTAAGAAAAAAAGTTAGAAAGTCAAAAGTGTTTCTAATAGAAATTACTTCTAGTATTAAACAATCTAAAACCACAGGCCAAATAGAAATTGTATGAGATACAAAATTGAATTAAATAACAGCCCTTGCCCTCCAGGGCCTTGCCACAATCCACTTAATGCAGGCAGAAATGTAAGCACTTCACATGTAAGATGATTAACACTGACATAAAATTCAAGGAACCCAAGCAAAGAAATGAATGCCTAATAATGCCCAGGAGGGCCAGAAATGGCTTCAGGTAATTGTACTTCTTGAGCTGATCCCTGAAGAAAAAAGATTTCACCATGAAGAGAAGGAAAAGGAAACAATATGTGAAAATGCCTAGAAACTAGAAGAACATGGAATATTGAGAGATTACCCTAAATCCATGGGGCTGGGTCAGATGGTACAAATGGGAAAGTGGCTACTGATGAGGCTTTGGGAAAAGGTAATTAAGGATCTACTCTACTCTGCTCTACTCTAAAGTAAGGAAGGACCTTGTATTTCATCCTCTAGGCCTGTACTGTCCAGAAGAGCAATTGCTAGCTACAGATGGCTATACAAATTTAAATTTAAATGAATTGAAATTAAAATTAAAACTTGAATTTTGTGATGCATAGTAACTATATGCCAGTGTTCAATAGCCCCATGTGGTTAGTGGTTACACTCGGTTAATTGAAGATAGCTTCTTCCACATCGTGAAAAACATCTGGATCAGACCATGTTTTTGTTGAAGAGAAGAAGAATTCAGTACTATGGGCAATTTAGGGCTGTCCTGGCTGATCAAATCACTATAAGTACTCTAAAAGCAATGCCATTTAGCCTTCACCTTAACTTCATATTAAGAAGCATACCTTTTATTATGTCTCTAACAAGTTGTACTGTATAAATATTAATACTTAATGGACATCAGAACTCTGACTTTAAGAAATCCTGAATTTAACTTCTGAATATGCACAGAACCAAGAGAGGAACAATACACCTACTCTATTTAATGCTTCTCTAGGCAAAACTGATTTACTATTCCTTTCTAAAATATTTTTTCCAAAAAATGTTAATATGTGTAATATTAAATACAACCAAAATCACACTGGTTGAAATACATTGGAACTGTATTTCCCTCTCAAGTATAGGCTGCCCAGGTGGATGTGGCAGCCTAGCCACATTATGCAGCCATATTCTGCTCTTTAGCTATTTCATCATGCCCAGGCATTGCCTTTCTTTGCTTGTCCAAAATTCTGATCACTGCAATTATGCACCAAGCAGCAGGATGGAGTAAGAAATGGCAGAAGGAAGGCATCACCCCTCGATTTACTCACATGATCTGACAGTTACATATATCACTTCCTCTCACATTTTTCATGTGAGAAACTAGTCACATGGCCACAACTAAATGCAAGAAGTAAGTCTTTTATTGTGCATGCTACCAAGTTCCCAGTGATTTCCCCAGATGTTGTTACTAAAAAAAGGCACGCACATGCATGTGTGTGTGTGTGTGTGTGTGTGTGTGTGTGTGTTATTTGGAGAGTGCCCTTTAGAAAAACTGAATACAACATCATGCATACAAAATTAGGTAGTGGAAATGGTCTGTGGGAGTACTGATCAACAAAGAATTTTGTTGTGACTTCTGGAGATTTGGGGGCAAATGAAGTGCTTTCGAGTAATTAGCACTAGCTCCCATCGTCATAAATTCTATACTGTGAGAGATCCAGGTGATAAGGCCAATACTGAGCACTGTTCCAGGTCTCCATCCTCTGCTCTCAAAGGTTGGTTTGCATCAGGACCATTTTCCCCAACACATCCCTTCAAGAGGAATTCCTGTGAGAGCACAAGGCCCAGGTCCCAAGAGAATTTCATGTTGCCGAGGCAAGTAGCACAGTTATTTGTCATAGTCAGGTTATGTCCTGACTCAGAGAGTCCTTAGCTGTTCCACTTATATCTCTCTAGTCACCCTGCTTCTTTTAGGGCATCCAAAAGGACACAACAGGAATTTTAGCAAAGTGTTTTCAGTGAAACTGAATGAGGGCCTACCTCTATGCACAGGGCCTTTGGGTGCTACCTAGGGGTCTTCTTACTGATTTCTACAACTTATCAACATCTTCTAGGTTACTGTTGCTCCATCTGGCATGATCGAGAGATATTTGACTTGTGCCTTAAAAGATCAGATAAGCATCTTTGTCTTCACATATCAATCTGTAGCTGCAAGCAGAATGGGACTTTCTCTTGCCAAAACCAGATCCCTTTCAGATCAAACCAGCTAAGGATCAATCCCTGGATGTTAGCTCTATTATTATTAATATGTATATATGAGATATGTATATCATATATATCTTCATTTCAATATCCTAGTAACTAGCAAATAAAATTTTGCCGTATATTTTCAACATCATCTTTGATAATAGCCTGTATAGCTCTAACTTTAATGATCTGGGTTCAAGTTTCTGCTTCACTCCTTATGTGCGGCATGACAGTGGGTGAGTTACTTAACCTTTCTATGTCTCCATTACCTAATCTAGATAAGGAGAATATTAATAGTATCCACTTTATAGGTTTTGTGTAAGTGACAAAATGCACAGAAATCTATTAGCTGGTCTATCTCTGCTATATATTAAACCCATAATGAGTGCAAAGCCCGTATTATTGTGGGCTAATCTTTTTCTAAAACTAATTATGGCTTTTATTATCTTTAATAACAATTACTTGTAAAACTAACTTTAAAATATATGTTGGCTGTGCCAAGGTTTGTTACATTTTTAATTATCTCTAATTCCCACTCACATGTATTTTATAAAATTTTCATGCTCTAACACTTCCCACCCCACCTCCTCTATGATGTTCTTAGCTTGACCTGCAAATGAAAGACATTGCCTTACTGTCTTATATCCAGAAGGTCACTACAGGGTACAGGAATAGGTGAAGAAGGGGTGCTTCTTTGTGACACCTCAGTCTTTAATACCACCTTCTGAGAAAAGATACTGAGATACATTGAATTTACAGCTGTTTAAAGAAAAAAACCTCACAACCATTAAGATGTGACACATTCCATCATCAGCTTCTGTGGCTATCTTAGCATTAGGGAAGCATTAGCATTAGTGAAGCAGCACAGCATATAGCAAAGTAATTCTATTACTCTATACCTTGTTATGTACTCTTGAAGAAATTATTTAACCTTTCTGTCCCCATTTCTTACCTGAAAAATGGAAAAAGAATGGTACTTATTATTTTAGGTACATTTATTAGACTTAGAACATTAAATAGTATTAACATTTGTAAGTATTGAGAATGGAGTGTGACATTAGTCATCAATACATGTTGTTTGTTTATCTTATGACGAGACTGAGAACTCATTGAAACAAATGGAGTTTATGTTTGTAACCTCTCTTTCCCTGGCTTGCCAACCCTCCATCCCCATGCTGATAACAACCGTAAGGAGAGCTGACACAAATTCCAAATATAAAGTAAAAGAGAAAAGGCATAAAAGTGAGATGGGGTCAAAATTCATAACCCATAAAAATGGATGAAAGATGAACTCAATTCAGCCGATTGCCAATATTTATGTCAGAAATAAATCAAGAGGGGCCCAAATGTCTCTCCATAAACACAGGTGGATCAAGAGATGCACACACGCATAACCAAAGACAGATAGTGGCACATGCAAGACAAGCTATGTAAAAGTTAAGGATGTGCCACTGGTACCTGGGAAATTTCAAGAGTAAATCTCCTTAATGTGCCTTTCCTGTCTCTTCATTAGATCCACTCAGCAGAGTATGTTTAAGACCAAAAAATGTAACTGATTCATTGAGCACCTACATCAATGCTAATTACATCAGGGTAAGTAAATAAATATAAATTTCTTTCTAGTGATTATGTTGACTTTTGGAATTGTTGATTTTATTTTATTTTTTCCCTTAATGTAAATTAAGTTTGATTTAACTTTATTACCAGCAAGTTCTGTTTGTTTGTTAAAGTTGTGTCAAAATGGGTAGTGGATCTTCCACAGGGAGTCCTCTGTTACTGTGGGTCCCTAACAGTGATCTCTACATGGGCACTCTGGTGAAGACAGAGCATCACAAGCCTCACTATCAAATGCCAAAGCTGGACCTTCTGGAAAAACAGCCATATATATCATGGTGCTAGAATCAATGAAGCTGCCACAATCTTTGTTTCTTTTAGCTTAACATAGCTCTTTTGTTTTGAAGATCTTTCACCTAATTTTTCACTGTGAGTCATGAACTTAAAAGGCAATAATTTTGTCTCTTTACTCCAACCAGGGTTACAGCGGCAAGGAGAAAGCATTCATTGCCACACAAGGCCCCATGATCAACACCGTGAATGACTTCTGGCAGATGGTTTGGCAAGAAGACAGCCCTGTCATTGTTATGATCACAAAACTCAAAGAAAAAAATGAGGTATGATCTTTACCAAAGCTCAGAAAGTTATGCATGTTCTATGGAACGTGTAAGCAACATGAGATTTTGTGTAAGCAAACTCATCACAAACTTTTAAAGATTTGTTTAAACTGAAAACCTTGAGACATTTAAAGGCTTCTTCCCTTTATACTTCCAACAAATGGTAACTGGTATTATTCTACGCATGGAAACTTTCCTTCACACAAGTCAATATAATTGGCATACACATATCTCATTTGTACTCAGTTATCTCAGTAGGGATATGAGGGGCCGTAAATTACAAATAATTATATAATAATTATAAATTATTAGACAATTTGTAAGCAAGGGAACAAAAAAATTATTCATATCCCAAGTCGTTTTTGATATAACAGGTACATTCTGGTTGTTGGAAATATATTAATAAACAAAACACACCAAAATTTCTGGCATGGTAGATTTTACCTAGTGGGGGGAAAAACAAAAATGATAAACACAATAAATTCATAAATAAATGTAATATATTAGAAGGAATAAGTGCTATTTTTGAAAAGCAAAGGAGGATAAGTGTACAGGATATACTGAGCAGTAGGCAGAGGATGGGTAGAAATAGCAGACCACAGTGTGAAATAGGTGGGTAAGGTGAGCATCCTTTAAAAAGTGAGATTGGAATAAAGGTTTGAAGAAGTGGCAAATCACAGCGACTTTTTCCTCCTAATAGTAAGAAATTCAAAAAAGAGACAAAATTAGATTCTATTCTCATACTTTTCTAAGCATTTAGTTTTCAGAATAACTTATTCTATATTTTGCATTATAAAAATAAAATTGATTCCTGAAGGCTGCTATCCTAGGTGCTTCTTATATCTTAGGGCATCTTATTGGAATAATTTATCATCTGATTTTGGTAAACATTTTATTTGCATGTTTTCTTGCCAAAATCACTATACCAGGGCTTCCTCATGACAATTTAGGAAGCTGATATTTCTCTTAAGCTCTTTTGGTGGGTTATAATGCCTGATTGTAATAGTAAAACCCTACCACTAATTGAGAGAATCGAGGCTCACAAAGCAGTAACTTACAAGTTTTTTAAAGTTTGCTGTTTTCTTTCATTTTTGTTACAATAGATGAAGCATTTTTCCTGAAATTCATCTTGGGAAAAAAAGTATGCTTTTGGCCAATAGATGAGGTTATATACCAAATTAACTATGTATATGGTTTACCAATAAGCAAATTTCTATGAGTCTGATATGAAAACATAGGTGTCATAATAAATATAACCCATAATATTCTCACCTGTTTTACACACATCAACATGACATCATATTAAGTCACTGACAGTTCCCACAGAATTGTTCAAAATACATGACATTTTAGCTTTGTAACAGAAAAAATACTCCTAAAGTTTAAAAATGTATTCACTATATGTGTACTTCTATATATGAATGTTTATAATACTCATGTAATATGGTTGACCTTGTAACCTGAAACACTTTCACTATAAAACCAGTGACACTGGGTAAAATATGAAATAGCATGAACAGCAGAGTTTGGAAAAACTAAAGAAAATTCTAATGGTCAAAAACTTAAAAAGGTATAAAATCAGAGAATTAAGGGTTACTCATGGTTTAATTGCATACAAGAACAAGAGACAAATTTTAAGCTTGCAGGACCCAGCAGTTGAAATTGAAACCTTACATAAAATGAGCACCTGCAAGGAATATGGCTTTAGTGAAAACTAAAAGACAAAAATAAAGCTGCCTACCAACTTAAAACTATAACAGGAAATTAATTTGTCTAAATCTGGGCTTTTGATTGGATAAAAGGGCTCTCCTGAGTATTCAAAGCTCAGAAACCTCAGAATATTAAAACCAGATTATGCCAGGTGGAGTAATTAACACCAAGTAAGACCAGCTTGGTTACACTGTGCACTTTACAGAAACAAAGGTGAAAACTTCCCAGATGCATCCTACACTCTCCACATATGCCTCACAGAACTCCCTCCCCCCGAAAATTCAAACATAAGCTCACAAATCAAAATTATGAGCCACACAAATAAATAAAACATTAAAAGGAAAAAATCAGGAGAAGCAGCCAATACTAGTAATAAATCCACAAGAAATAAAAATAATAGAAATATATAGGTTTTTAAAAAGAATTTACCACACAAATACAAATAAACAGATTACAAAAAACAAGTTAATATCAAAAAAGACTAAGATTTACAATCAAAACAAAAAATATGAGTAATAAATATTTTATATACATTGAAAGGATAATAAATCTTATTAGTTTTATAAGACTAGGCACAGATGAATAGTGAATTAGAAGACATAGTTAAAGAAATGACCTAAAAAACCAAAATGATTAAAAACATGAGAACTGAAGAGACATAGAGGATGTTTAAATGCACAAAACATGTTTAATTGGTGTTTTTGAAAAAAAAAATAATATGAGGGGAACCAAGTAATATTTGAAGAAATAATTGTTATAAGTTTTCCAAAGTTTATAGAAGATCTGAGCTTCAGTTTTGAAAAGCACAATAAATATTAGTCTGGATAGGTTAAAAATAAATAAATAAATTCACAAGTAGACCCATCTGTGGAAATGAAAAATACCAAAGATACAATATTCAATATTAACAGCCAGAATCACTATCAACAATAGGAACAACAACGATAGAGGACCCAAGCCAGTAGGATAATACCCACAAATGGCTAAATCAACACAAACCCCAGAAAATCTATCATACATGGACTAGAGAGAAAGAAAAACTTTTCAGACAAACAAAAATTGAAAGAATTGATCATGAAGAGCATCTTACCAAAATAACTACAAGAGGTGTTGAATAAAGGAGATTTGATCCAGGACAAAAGGACTCAAATGTAAAACAGTAAGCAAAGAAAGTAAAAATGAAGGTAGAACTAAAATTCTGGACAATAAGAGAATGTGAAAAAAGATAAAATATTTTTGTGTTATTCATAAAAAGAGTAGAAATTCAACCAAGTTCAGACTTAAAGCTAAGCATGCATCTTACAATTTTAAGATTAGATACTAAAAGAATGGAAGTAGGATGTATAATGTCCAATCTGGTAGTAAAGGAAAAAGATTTTTTAATAAATTAAAAGAAGAAAGAAAAACAGAAAAAAAGATAGAAAAATTAAGATAATTTTTTACCAAATTGGAAGATAGAAATACATCAAAATAGATTGGTAATCATGCTAAACAGAAATGAGTAACTTGCCTATTAAATAGCAGAGATTACCAAATTAATTAAATAAATCTTGTTATGTTGTCTACAAGAGGATCTGGAAATGTTAAAATAAAAAGAAAAAATGACACCAAGCTAATACTAAACAAAGAATAAGTTTAACAAATAAAATTGATGTTCAGTTAAAACAATCATTAATAAAAAATCATTAATAGAGAGGAACTAGAGATAAAACATACAACTGATAAAAAAAAGTTACAACTCTAAACTTGTAAATTTATGACATAACCTCAAAATACCTGAAGCATTAATGGAAAAATTAAATAAATAATTGATAAACTACCATCAATCAGAAGAAAACTAAGCAAAAAGAGACACTAGATTTAAATTAAGCAGATTTTTTAAATATAAGTAAATACAAAGAAAAATATAAAGTAGTTTAAATATAACCTTTGCATAAATTACCAAAATGTTCATTACCTACAACTCAGTCATGGTGAAGGCACTATATACTAATTTAGAAACTCCTAAAAGTTAGAATTTCTATTAAAATAATTCCTACTCTAAAAAGTAGCTGGGGTTTTTGTTTTTCTCTTTAGTTGCATAATTTAAAAACTGGAGAAGTGGTTGGTTTTTACCATTCTGAACCCCTTCTCTTTGTAATGTCTGAGATATATCCTCTGGAGCTCAAAGTCAAACATGTTAAATGTCTACAATGTGTATTCTGCTACTTGGTTTTTTTTTTCCTGCAGCCAGACATAATCCAAAATATTGAAAGAAATATTTTTAACTTTTAAAAGATTGTTATATTACTCTTCAAATAAAAACAAAAATCCTTTTCTGTCCAGACTCTCCAAAGATGCAAATAAAATACTGTAGAGGAAGCTTTGATGTTTTACAGATCAAATGATACTGAGAAGTCTGGCTCAAAAGGAATACACAGCAGACTCCACACTACCAGGAAAGTGCTGTTTACCGAAAATGTGCCAACTTTCAATTGTGTTAAGCATCATTGTTTGGAATAGACAAAAATCATTTCCTCCAAAGAATGTGGAGGTGGAGTTATCTTTAGAAGTTCCCACACTTTATATTTTTACAATCTTTTCTACTTTATAATAAATAAAAGAGCAATTGGCATCTTTTATTTAATAATCTCAATATTCTCAGTTACTCACATTTTATAAAATAAAAATGAACAAAAGTGAAAATAAAGCTGAAAAATTAGTTTTGTTTGGGTTTTCTTTTATTCAAACTCAGAACCTTGCACTTGTGAGCCAGGCGAGGCGCCACTGAGCTAAATCCCTGGCTGAAAAATTAGTTCTTATAACAAAAGATTTAGTTGCTAGCAGGTTTAAGTTTCTTCATTTAAATATATACAAAGAGGTAATTCCTTTTGAAATTAAAAAAAAACCTGAAAACAGTGTTCAGATTTTCTTAACATGAAGTACTTCATTACTAGAAAAGATACAGTGGGCAAAACCTTTAAAGCTGAAACTAGATCAGTCCAAAAATATCAAGTAGTGTTTGAGCACATCTAAGGAATCAAAGTGCTCAGACTACCTCTGGACTTTTTGGGTTGCAACTCCCTTCCCTTCTAGGAATGAAATTAAGAAGGTATAAATATTGACCTTTTTAAATATATCTGCTGAGCACAATCATGCATAAATTCAATTAAATATCACTCTCACTCTACAAAATAGGTTTGACTGTCTCCTGTCCAATATTACAGACGAGAAAACTAAAACTGAGAGTTTAAGTCATTTTATTTAATCTTCAAAGTGAATGGATGACCAAATTCAAATTTTAACCCTGG